CATCACCATCACCATCACAGATACCAATAACAATACCAACTTTCTCATCACCATCGTTAAATTATCCTCCATTAGTCTCTACACCATTTACTATGAATATTAATAATATTTTACCGAACTTTAAAGGTTTAGCAGAAGAACGGCCTGTTCAATTTTTAACTGAATTTGAAATTCGAGCTGTTTCTCTTGTCGGGAAAAACGATACTCTCCTATTACAAACTGTCCAACAGGCCCTTTCTGAAGGTGCTCTCATCTGGTTCAGTCAATTACAAAGATCTCCTGGCCAAGCTCATAGCTGGAAAGAATTTAAGACAAGATTTTACGAACGTTATCGCACACCTACAAAAGTTGAACGTCTTCGTACTGAACTTCGTCTCCTGTTCGAGCGTTACAATGAGAGTACTTTAGACTATTTTGAACGTCTAAAAACTCTTATGGTCGAAATTGATTCCGATTGTAACGATCAGTGGGTGAAAAGTAAATTCATACAGAAACTTCGACCAGATATTCGTACTCGTTTTGATGACGATATTAATCTGTCGATTCGAGAAGTTGTCCACAAGGCATAAGCAATTGAAACAAACATCGAACGACAAAAAATTGATGAAAAACTTAGGATAGCTGCTAGTCAAGAAAACAACAATTCGACTAGTTTTATCACTAATAACATTTCATTCGATCCTGTTATTCGTCAACGTTCATTACCTGTGCCAACGAATACAACTTCGTCAATTCAACCAAACATTTATTATCATAATAATGATCAACATCCTTTTAATAATAATCAGACAGTTGATATTACAAATAATTGTCTTCCTATTAATGAAACTGGTTGTCTACCTAATGCTGCCAATAATTCAAATTGTTTCATTCCTCCTAACAATGGACGTAATATGATAAATTATGATAATGAAAATAATTATAAAAATAATAACAATAACAACAATAATTATAATGATAATAATGCGTACCGATATAATTCCAAATCAAATAACCATTATTATAACAAGAATGATTCAAATGCAAATTATATAGATAATAGTCACATGGTCTATCACGATCCTCATCATTCTTACAATCAAAACAATTCTTTTAAACACAAACATTCGAATACAAAATTTAACAAAAATTTAAATCGAAACACAGTGAGTTCATGTGATCCTTTTATGTCTTATTCTAGCCATTCAAATCATTCACAACCATCACATTCTACAATGTCGGCCCACGTTAAATCTTCTAAGAATAACCATTATTAATCATCAATTATTAAAAAAAATTTACCACAAGAACTTTATTTCCAAAAACAAATTACACAAATCAGCTAATTGTTCATCAATTGATATTATCGGCAAAATTGAACTTGAAATTAAAATACAAGGACACAACATATATTAGCAGATATTGTGACTAATCTTATTACTGACTTATTACTTGGAAACGATTGGATCTATCCAAACAATGTTATTATCGATTCACCACAACAACACATTTTTCTTATGGGCGAGAACAGAAAAGTTATAGTATCAACACCATTTATTAAACCAAAGCAACTTCGATTACCTGTTCTATTAACAAAAGAAATTACCCTTCAACCAAATTCTGAAAAATGCATTAACATTAAAATATTATCATCGATGAACAAAACATCAGAAGCATTATTTGAACCAACCACATACTTACATTCGAAAGCGATTTTCTTAATAAATGCATTAATTAAAGTAGAAGGAAACAGAAGTCGAATTTATGAATATTAATGCAAATGATTGTCAAAAAACATTATCAAAAAATACAACATTAGGACATGCAGGTTGTCCCAGAAGTCCACGCGGAAAGTTTACTTAGATATCTATTATACAATTCAAGCGATTTATATTTCTTTTTTTTATAATATTGTAGTATATTCTTTTAGGTTTTCTTCTGTATACTTTCAGATAAATGTCTGTGCCTACAAACATTAGAATAAAACTAGTTTTGTTAATGGCTAAATTTGAATCATCTACGGTTGTGAAACGAAAATTATGGGCCGACTTTGGTAAAAAAAACGCCTGGCGAAGCCACGATTAGAGAAACATTTCAACGCTTTTTTGAAACTGGTACAGTTGAAGATCGAGAACGTCCTAGAAGACCATCAGAAATTACCGAAGAAAAGATTGACGAAGTTGCTGAAGTTATTGAAAATGAACCACAATCGAGCGTTCGATCTGTGGCAACAGCCTGCTCTATTTCATGAACAACAGCACATCGAATTATGACTGAACATCTGTCATTGAAACCGTACAAGGTGCAATTTGTTCAAGAACTTTATGAAGAAAATATGCAAGACAGGGTTGAGATGTGTAAACTCTGATACCAATGTTAGAAGATAATCATATTCAACAAAATTTATTCTTTTCAGACGAAGCAACCTTTTATTTAAATGGATTAGTCAATAAACATAATGTCAGATATTAGTCTGAAACGAATCCACATATTACTATTGAAACAGTTATGAAATCTCCTAAACTCAACGTTTGGTGTGCTATGTCAAAAAATCAATTAGTAGGGCCATATTTCTTTGAAGATGATACTGTTAATGGGAATAATTACCGGTCAATGCTTCAAAACTTTTTTATTTGGGGAAGTGAGGAAATTGCACAAGGTTTGGTCTATCATATTTCAGCAAGATGGAACTCCTGCTCATTCCTCAACCGACGTATGACAGTATCTCGACAATTATTTTCCTAACAGGTGGATCGGAAGAGGTGGTCCAATTCGATGGGCTCCACGCTCACCGGATTTGACCCCTCTTGATTTCTTTTTATGGGGTCATGTCAAAAGCAACATCTACAAAACTCCTGTCAAAAATCTGACGGAATTAAAAAGAAGAATCAACATCGAAATAAAATCAATTTCTAAAGAAACTTTGAGTGTTGCTTTTTCAAATATTGTAAAAAGAATGTATTTATGTATTTCAGTTGATGGTAATCATTTTGAACATTTGTTGTAAACTAAATTAGATGAAATAAAACTTAAAAGAATATACTATCATTTTATAAAAAAAAAGCGATTAAACCGCTTGAATTGTATGAGAGATATTTAAGTAAACTTTCCGCGGGAACTTATGGGACACCCTGTATTTCATATCGATCGGAAGTAAACAATTACCTCATTCTAGCAGAAGTATCACAAGATAATAATAAACGTTTAATGTCTGCAGAGATATTTTTTCGTAAGAGGGACAGTCATTTACGGGATCGCTCCTGTGTATTCGCTACACATAGGAAAGTCCCATCTCGGGGCTTAACCTGTCGAATGAACAACCATTATGAAGAACAACTTTAATGTTATGTAAGTCAAGAACAATTTTTATCGCGCGATGATCTACAATAGCATTTACGCCAGAAATGTTATCCATCAGAAATGCGAACACAGATTGAACAATTAACTCGACATATTGAAGATGCAGAACAACGAGAACAATTACAACAGATATTATGGAAACACGGAAAATTATTTGATCTACGTCAACCGCCCATCATTAAAGCCACCATCCATCATGCCATAGAAACTGGTACTCATTCACCAATTTATACTTCACCATATCGTGTTTCATACAAAGATGAACAGAAACAACGAGAAGAAATCGAAAAATTACTCGAACAAGGCGTGATTGAAGAATCTACATCACCATGGTCATCACCAATAGTACTGGCTCGTAAAAAAGATGGATCTGTTAGATTTTGTATTGATTTTAGGAAATTAAACAGCATTACTACAAAGATCCATTTCCAATGCCTCGAATTGATGATATATTTGATCATTTATTACAAGCAGAATATTATACAACCGTCGATTTCAAATCAGGTTATTTTCAAGTTGGACTTGATCCCAAAGATCGTCCAAAAACGGCTTTTCCCACTCGGGATCAACATTATCAATTTACAGTATTACCTCAAAGTGTTACAAATGGCCCACCTGCATTTCAACGTATCGTTAGTCAAATACTTGGGCTTACAAGATGGAAATATTCATTAGCGTATCTCGATGATGTTATAATATACTCGACAACGTTTAAAGAACATCTTCTTCATCTCAATGATATTCTTAATCGATTAAATGACGCAAATTTTCGGCTTAATGTTACTAAATGTCAAATAGCAAGAACATCAATAGATTATCTAGGACATCATATTCAACATCGTATTATTCGACCTAATGCTGACAATATTCGCGCGTTATTAGAAACTCAACAGCCGATATCAACGGAAGAAGCATTTCGATTCGTCAAAGCTGCTGAATATTATCGTAAATTTATACCTGAATTTTCCACGATTGCACAACCTTTACATCAATATGCACCAACCACCAAAGAACAACGAACAAAAAAATCACAAGCAACACCTATTACTTTATCCAATGATGCACTTGACGCGTTTAATAAATTAAAGAGAATATTAACCAATGATTTAGTATTACGCATTCCAGATCAAAATTTGCCATTCAAGATACAAACAAATGCATCGAAAATTGGTGTTGGAGCAGTACTGATGCAAACTCATCCTAATGGTGATCACCAGTGGCATATTTATCAAAGAAATTCGCGACAACACAAATGAATTGACCTGCAACGGATCAAGAATGTTATGCTATTATATATGCTATTGAAAAATGGCATAAATATTTAGACGGACAGTCATTTAGTATTGAAACAGATCACAAACCATTATTACCATTTAATTCAAAGCAACAGCTAAATTCGAAATGTGAACGATGGCGTTTAAAATTACAACAATATCGATTTACTATTAAATACATTAAAGGCAAACATAATACAGTAGCTGATTATTTATCACGTTCACCAGTAGATAATGGATCAAATGATGAAGATGACTATACACCAACGAAATCTGCATCAACACAAACTGACGAGTATATGAAGACAAAAATCGTTGCACCTGTCATCACCCGTAATCACGCAAAACAACAAGTTGCTGAGAGGTCGGATCTCCATTCGGTAGATCGAACCTGCGAGGTGGACACACGAAAGAGGAATGTAGACATGGAAGTCGTACAATCCTGGAGTACACAATATAATCAGTGTCATACACCAGCGATTCCAAATGAAATGCAACAAATAATACCTTTTACATGGGAACAATTAAAAGAAGCACAACACCAAGATGAAGAAATTAAGAACGTAATTAATGACATCCGCAACCATAAGAAATATTTCATCAAAGATAATATGTTAATGAAGAAAGCATGTCCACCAGTTCCAGTTATACCTAAAGGACGAATTCGTTCAGATATAATTAAAATTTATCATGATACACTGGCGAATGGTGCTCATTTTGGTCGTGATCGAACGATTAATAAAATTCAACAACGATATTTTTGGCCAGGTATCATTTCTGACATTCATAATTTTATTAAATCTTGTTTACTTTGTTCACAAAACAATCCGCTACGACAAAAACCACCTGGTGCTTTCAAACAAATAAAACCTCCAGATGGCATATGGCAATTACTTACAATGGATTTTCACGGACCGATCACACCAACAACGAAGAATGGAAATAAATACAGTATTTCATTGGCCGATGTATTCTCAAAATTCATAATTACAAAAGCAGTCCGTGATTGCACTGCTACCACTGCAGCATGATTTTTAATTGATGAAGTTATTCTTACTGATAATGGTACACATTTTACAGCTAAAATGATGACAGAGTTATTGAAACAAATTGGAATTGCACATTTATACTGGACACCTTATCATCCCGTGACAAATGGACAGATAGAAAGATTTAATGCAACAATGGATGAAAAATAGCTGCATTATCAAATGAAAAACGAACGAACTGGGATGAACAATTACCATTCGTTACATTCAATTACAACACCACTATACATCGCACAACTAATCAAATTCCATTCGAATTAATATATGGTCGTAAACCAATTTTACCATTTGACCAACAGCAACCATTAGTTACCTTATCACAAGATCCAGAACACAAGACCAAATTAAATCAACATTTATCCGTATTAACCGAACAACCGAAAGCCACGATTTTAGAACAACAACGCAAATATAGAGAACATTATGATCGATATCGAACAAATCCAATTTATAAAATTAATGATATTATTCTTGTTAAAACATTAAACAAGCGAAACAAATTCGACATCATATATGAAGGACCTTTTAAGATTACGCAACAACTGGGGAAAACAAAATTTATCGTAGAACATATTAAGAAGCATACATTAGTTCGACAAGTTACAATAGATGTCATTATTCCATTATGCGAACGAAAAAGAATGGATTAGGTATAGATTGGATTAGTAACGCGCACTAGATATAGTAAATCGTTAGTTATCGGTGCCGGACGTATACGCCTGACCGCCTTATCAGTCTTTGTCTTTCCTGTTTCTTTAAAACGTTTTTTTCTTGTTCTCATATTCCCTCGACTGTAAGGAGGGTCATATGAAAAAAACTAAAATGCGTTTGTTTGCTTGTTTGCTTGAGGTCAAAAAAACATCTAAGGAAGGTTAGCTTATTTTCAGACTTTTGGTCGT